CCTCCAACTTTTGGGCTTAAGCGATTCTCTTGCCTCAGCCTCCCAAGTAGCTGGGACTATAGGCGCCTGCCACAACGCCTGGCTATTTTTTGGTTGTAGTTGTCATTGTTGTTTGGTAGGCCCGGGCTGGATTCAAACCGGCCAGCTCCAGTGTACGTGGCTGGCGCCCTAGCTGCTGAGCTACAGGCACGGAGCCTGTTTACTGACTCAAGCCTGTTTTGAAAGTTACCAGGGGTTACATCGTATATAAATTAAAATGGCTATAAAGTGTCCATTCAGTGATTGCTTCCTTGATGCCAGCTGCTTTATGTGCCTTATCTCATTTATTTCTTACCACGTCCTAGGAGATATTATTGACACTATTGTAGGGATGAGGAAAGAGACTCAGAGGGGTTAAATGACTTGCTTAAGTTCACCACACAGCCAGGGTTTCACAGCAAATGAAAACCAAAGCTAGCTCTGCCTTACACCAGGGGCTGCGTTCCTAACCACTTCCATCTTACAGCATCAGACAGACAATTCAACTCAGGTAATGTGTCCTGTCTTCACCTAGCTTTTGTTTTCATTCATACAAATTTTCTGTGATTTATATGTAAGAAAACTGAAAATATTTGTGAGCCACAACCCCTTGTTTATTTCAACTCATATGATGGCCCCTTGGAGAAGCAGAAAGTTCTACATCATATTTTTCTGGTGCAGGTCTTTTTCATTTAGAAATAATACATTTACAGCAATGTACACAACTCTCAAGTGTGCAATTTTTTTTCTTTTTTCTTTTTTTAACGTATATTTTTATTTTTTATTAAATCATGACTGTGTACATTGATGCATTTATGGGTTTCAGGGTACTGATTTGATATACAATGTGAAATGCTTACATTGAACTAAGTAACACATCCATCACAATTATACTCTTTTCTTAATAGTTTTGAAATGTACGATTGCATCATGCACATTAGGTGAGGTCCCCCCGAATACCCTCCCTCCACCCTCTTCCCCCCTCTCTCTCCTCTTCCTTTCTACTTTCTGGACTATAGTTATGTTTTAACATTCATATGAATGTGTTGGTGATTATATATTGATTTCATAGTAGTATTGAGTACATTGGATACTTTTTTTCCCCATTCTTGAGATACTTTACTAAGAAGAATATGTTACAGCTCCATCCAGGTAAACATAAAAGATGTGACGTCTCCATCTTTTTTATGGCTGCATAGTATTCCATGGTGTACATATACCACAGCTTATTAGCCCATTCATGGGCCAGTGTGCACTTGGGCTGTTTCCATGTCTTGGCAATTATGAACTGGGCTGCAATAAACATTCTGGTGCAGATGTCTTTGTTGTAAAATAATTTTTGATCATCTGGGTATATACCTAGTAGAGGAATTGCAGGATCGAATGGTAGGTCTAGTTTTAGTTCCTTGAGTATTCTCCAAACTTCTTTCCAAAAAGGTCATATTAGCTTGCATTCCCACCAGCAGTACAAGTATGCAACTTGATAAATTTTTACACATATACACACATATATTCCCTGAGTATCCACCACCCAAGATCACCCCCCACCTCCCCACAGACTTTCTCAAGGCAATTCCTGGTTCCCTCCCCAGGCTAGCACTATTCTGACTTCTTGCATGACTTATTAGTTTTGCTCTTTTTGAACTTTGCAGAAATGTTAGAGAGCACAAACTCTTTTGTGCCCAACTCTTTCTCCTCATCTTTGTTACACCTGTGCGTTTCCTCCACAGGTGCAGGTAGCAGAGGTTGAGCCTTTGTTGTTCTGTAGCTTTTTTGTTTTGGAGACAGAGTTTCACTTTGTCACCCTTAGTTTGAGGATTGCTTAAACCCAAGAGATAGAGGGTGCTGTGAGCTAGGACACTACGGCACTCTACCCAGAGCAATAGATCAATATATTGAGTGAGACTCTGTCTCAAAAAAAAGAAAAGTTTCTGCAAACATTTTTATTATCTTTTGGTAAATAGACTTATCTCTCTCAGGCTAATATATCTGTATCTGCTTTTAATTTCTTGAATATACTAGTCATTGTTTAACTGTAAGAATTTGGGCTTTGATAGGCCATGGAAGTTCCTAGATTATAAGTACATTAATTTCTAGTTTTAGAACACAAACAAGTTCGATGTCCATTTGATGAAAAATAATTTGCAATAAAACTCAGCATTTAGTCTTCATAGCATTATAGATAGTTTGTACCGATGTTCTGGTTTGCATATTAGAATTATTCTCTTTTGATGTCAAATGACAGAGACCCAGTTCAGATTAACTTTAGCCAAACAGAGAATGTAAAGACTCAAGCCTCCGGTGGTTGGCTGCCTCCAGGTACTTAAATGATGCCCTCAGCATCTGGTCTTTCTGTTTGCTCTGCTGTCCTCCCAGCTGGCCTCATTCTTAGGCAAAACTTCTCCACTGTGACCACTGGCAGCTTCAGGGTTGTAACTTCCTAATTCCAAGTCCAGCAGAGAGATAGAGAGCTTCTCTGTTCTCTACGGTTCTGGCAAAATTCCCAGAATTTGTGTGTTTTTTTGTTTTTTTGTTTTTTTTTTGAGACAAAGTCTCATTGTCACCCTAGGTAGAGCGCTGTGGTGTCATAGCTCACAGCAACCTCAAACTCTTGGGCTAAAGTGATCCTCTTGCCTCAACCTTCTAAATAGCTGGGACTACAGGTGCCTGCCACAACACCCAGATAATTTTACCATTTTTAGTAGAGATGGGGGTCTCACTATTCCTCAGGCTGGTCTCAACTCCTGAGCTCAAGCAATCCACTTGCCTCTGCCTCTCCGAGTGCTAGGATTATAGGCGCGAGCCATCAGACCCAGCCCCAATTCCCAGAATTAAATCTCACTCTCTCTAACCGGAGAGTAGGCCTTCAACCAATCACTGTGGCCCGGAAGAAAATACTTCTGATTAGGTCACATGCCCACCCCTGACCCTTGGGGACTGAGAAAGAAGAGTTATGCAAAGAAAAGTGTCACACAAAAGAGAGAAATGGATGCTGGGCAGGATCCCAGTAATGCAAAACAGACTTCAACTATGCTCAGAAACGTGGAAGGGAGTTGGCAAATGAACCTTCTGAGCCTACAGGTATTGGCAGGAAGTTAATATTGTCTTTAGCTCTAATTACTCAAAAAGGCCAACCCTTGCCATTTACATAGAGATAAAATTGTAAACGGCTGAACCTGAAAAATGTTCTACTTCCTTCTTTCAGAGAGGCCTCACCATTCATCTCATGACGCTGGCTTGACCTGTGGATGTGTTCGCCTTTTATCCTTTTCCCTTTCCATGTTGGGTCAGTCAATAAAAACTATTGGTTCTTCCTTTAAATTTTCTCCCCTGCACATTTTCTTCCTAGTCCCACTGGCACTACACCAGAAGCTCCAGGCTAATGTTCCACCCCTCAGAAACCCCAGGGAAGTGAAAGCTCCGTTTTCTTAATAATTCTAGCCCAGGTCCTGAAGGGCAAGGTCGGGTTATATGCTCATTCCTGAGCCAAACCCTGTGGTCAGGGGGATGGGGAACACTGATTAGCTAGGCCTGAGTCACTGACCATCTAGGAGGGGTGTAATTGAAATGTAATTGATTCTTCCCTGTAACCCCTGGACCAAAAGTAGGGGAGGGAAATGATGTCCAGAGGAAAATCAGGGCATTAATGCCAGAAGGGGAAATGGCTAACCAGCAAACAAAAACAACAGCTATCTAGCATACTTAGAAACTAAAACCCTATCACTTCTGATTTGAAAGTATGCCGTGTCTGTAGATTGGAACTCAGAAAATCATATTTTCAAACTGGAAGAGGTCATAGCAATTGTCTCCTTACCCAAGTCCTCTCGTTCCTATTAACTATTTTTCTTTTGCGCACTCATACTAATATATGCTTTGAACCCTAGAACCTCATATGCAACCAAAATGCTCAAAAAGTCCTTGCTTATTTCAATCCTTTGGTTCATTGCTCTCTTTCTACCCTCCAACTGAAGGAGTGTATTGTTTAAGATACAAGTTTGGCTGCATGTATCAAAGACCAGAAAAACCCAGTGGTTCAAACAAGATAATAGTTTATTTCTCTCTTACATCATAGTCTAAGCTGATATGTAGGGTGACCAGACGTCCCGCTTTTTAACAATTTGTCCCGCGTCCCGCTGCGTTTTAAAAAGGTCCCGATTTTTGGAAAGAATGCATGAGTGGGCAGGAGAACAGTAAGGGAATATACAGTTTTCAGCTGTCATGCGGCTATTTCGCCAGGATATGAGTTTTATATTATTTTTGTTAATTTTATAATGTTAAACTAGAATAACAAATAATTGTTGAGAAGTGATTATCGAGAACTGCTTATCAAAGTTTGCATTGTTGTCAGGCCCTGCCCTGTCCGGTCCGGTCCCCTGCCACGCCCCCGCTACGCCCCACGCCCTGCTCCTGCCACGCCCCGCCTCCCGCCCCCGCTCCGCCCCGCGCCCCTCCAATGGTGTCCCGCTTTACCAATGTTAAAATCTGGTCACCTTACTGATATGATGACTCTGCTCCATCAAGTCACCAACAACCCAGGCTCCTCCTACCTGTTGTACTACTGTCCCCAAGGTGGGTGCTGCCTTTGTATGCATGGCCAAGATGGCGCGACATCATGTTCATGTTCCAGCCCACAGGAAATAAAAAGACTGAGAGAGGGAGGGATAACTCCTTTACCTTAGGAGCACGGACTGGGAAGTTGTAGGTAGCGCGTCTGCTAATCCTTTGACCACTCTCATGCCCACATCTAGCTGCAGAAGAGCCCGGGAAATAGCATCTTTATTCTGTGCAGCTACGTACCCAACAGTGAAAGAAAGAAGAACAGATACCTGATGTTAACCAGCAATCTCTGCAGGGAAGAGAGGGGGAAATGTCTGACCTTTTCTTTTCTTTTTGTTTTTCAGGCGTAAGAAAAAATATTTCTGAGTAATTGCACATTGGAAACATTTTAACGCTCCAGGGTGAAGAATCTGTACCATACCAGCATGTCTGCCCACTACAGATATAATAGGTACAAGGATGATCCAGATGACCCTGACTATTCAGGGTCTCAGCACCGAATGCAGGGATATTCAATAACTCAGGATCATCCAAATGTTCCAGCTCCTATGAACAATCCAGACTACCCCAGCACCAAGAGAAATCCATACTCTGGAGGCTCCAGAACAAGTCCAGACTATCCTGCATCTTTTGCAGAGCCGGATTATCCCGGATCTCCAGATAATCCAGACCGTCCTAGCACCAGGAACAATTCATTCTCTGCAATTTCTAGAATCAGTCCAGACTACCACAGATCCCTACAAGAGCCAGATTATATGGAATTTCAGAGGAATCCATACCCCCCAGGCTCATCTGGACAGCCAGACTACCCCAGATCTCAAAAAAATTCTGATTTTACATATTCTAGAAGCACTAGAAATTATGCAGACTCTAGAACACATCCAGATTATTTTGGCTCCTTAGGAGAACCAGACTACCTTGAAACTCAGAGCAACACTAACCATCCTGGCCCCAGAGGCAATTCAAATCATTCAGGCTCCAGAAGGAATCTACAATATGCTGGTTCCAGAATCAATACACGCACAGACTCTCTGGGAGACCCTGATTATCTAGGTGCCAAAAATCAACCTAACTCTCCACACTTTTTTGGGGAACCAGACTATTCTGATGCTGAGGACTATCAGAACTCTCCAGACATTTGGGGAGAACCTGATTATCCAGATGCTGAGAATGGGCATGATTATGGCTTTTCAGAGACTCTGGGAATGACCAGGGGGTAAGTGTAGATATATCTCTTCAGTGGGAGTGGGGTCTGAGTGTTAAATCATCAAGTCAAGGGAATTTGGTTGGTATGGTTTACATTAGGGTCATGTATGATGGTTTTCATGATCTGATCTCAATCGCTACATATAGACTTTGCCTGGACCATAGACTCTCAGCCTGAGACCTAAAGTCCTTACCTGAATTTAATCTTTTTTTTTTTTTGCAGTTTTTGGCTGGGGCTGGGTTTGAACCCACCACCTCTGGTGTATGGGGCCGGTGTCCTACTCCTTTGAGCCACAGGTGCTGCCCAAATTTAATCTTTTTTATTTTTATTTTTTGAGACAGTCTCTCTTTGTTGACCGCAGTAGAGTGCAATGGCGTCATAGCTCACAGCGACCTCAGACTCTTGGACTCAAGTGATTCTCTTGCCTCAGCCTCCCAAGTAGCTGGGACTACAGGTGCCTGCCACAATGCCCAGCTAGTTTTAGAGAAAAGATCTCGCTCTAGCTCAGGCTGGTCAAACTCATGATCTGAGGCAATCCACCTGCCTCAGCCTCCCAGAGTGCTGGGATTATAGGCATGAGCCACCATGCCCAGCCCTGAACTTAATCTTTCATCACCTCTTGTTTGGATCATCTTCCTAGTCTCCCATTTTTTCTTATACCAATCTCTGTAAGGTATCTGGATCCCCACAGCTTTTTTTTTTTTTTTTAGTAGAGATGGGGGGTCTCATCCTGTTGCCCAAGGCTGGTCTTGAACTTGTGGCCTCCAGAGATCCTCCCACCTCAGCTTCCCAAAGTGCTCGGATTACAGACGTGATCCACCACATCAGCCTCACACTGGTTTGACCGTGCTGCATTGCCAGTGGGGTTGGGTTATCACTTAAGAGTCATAAATACAAAACAAACGCTTTAGCCAGAATTATATTAACGGTAATGAATTTTTATCAAGAAAATCTATTGAAGGTCTAACTCCATGAAGTCAATTTAATTCCTCAGCTAGGTTTTCATACAAGATGTTTGTATCACTTTCTGATTTTTCTACTTTCATTTTTATTATACAAAAATCTTTGTATAGAGATTTTGTCAGAGTTGATCATTTTTGACAAAAACTTTATTGCAGGATTGATTCATTGATCTTCATTGTAATTTTCCTTAAATGTTACTGATTGTAATTTTCACCACTGGCAGCGTTCCTTTTTTTTTTTTTTTTTTTTTGAGACAAGAGTCTCACTTTGTTGCCCTTGGTAGAGTGCCGTGGTGTCACAGTTCACAGCAACCTCAAAGTCTTGGTCTAAAGCGATCCTCTTGCCTCAGTTTTTCATTTTTAGTAGAGAGGAGGTTTCATTTTTGCTCAGGCTGGTCTCGAACCAGTGAGCTCAAGCGAGCCACCCACCTCAGCCTCCCAGAGTGATAGATTACAGGCACAAGTCACCTGGCCTGGCCTTTTAAGGCCATTTTAAAACATTAAATCCAATTTTTTCTGGTTGAGATTCTGTGTATTTCAATTTTGTCTGAAATATTTTAACCTTCTCTTTAATCTTTTGTCCTTGGCAAATTTTACCAGGTCTAATTCTAGACATTGATCGCATTAGTTTGGATGACTTAATTCTATCAAATCTAATTTTTCTCCATTAAGTTTGCCCATGTTTATGTTGCAAAAAGATGTGATTTTTAGGTCAGTTTTTTGTTTAATCTCTAACAAATCTTAACCATGTGAAATTTTAACCAATATGAGTCTTATTTTTCATTAACTATTTCTACAAGTAATATTTATGAATTTGATAAAAACTGATGGCTTCTATTTATCTCTAGAAATAAGGGGAGAGGATATAGGTGTACAGTATTTGAGGTATCTTTAGGATTTAAATATCAATGTTAACAGGACTAGCTCAAAAATGTCTTCCTTGGTCTTATCTCCCACTGCCTGATTCCTATTCCAAAACACACCTTTGATCCTGTGACTCCTCTGCTTTTCATATTCCCTGGGTCCCCTTAACCTTTGGGAGAAAGGCCACACACAACTTCAAGTGTAGAAGATTCATGAATCAGGGTGCATGGTGCTAAGGTAAGATGCCAGCCAAAGGCCAGCCTGTTTGATCTCCTCCTATCTCTCCTATCCCCATCCTGCCTTGACCCTATACTCGAGGTCAGTGATTCTTGACCTGAGCTGATCCGTAGAGTTACTTGGTTACCTGGGAAACTTTAAAAATAATACAGATTCCTAAGCCCAACCTTCAAAGCTTCTGATTTAATTGTTTGGGACAAGGATTAGGGGTGTGCACATACTGTATATACTAAATTGAGGACTGTTGCTTTAGGTTAGTTGATTTTCATAACATTTCCTTTATATATTCAGCTCTTTCTGGCCTCACTCCTTTATTTATGCTGTTCCTTATCCTTGGAATGCTCTCCTCCAGTCAGGAATATATCCTTCCAAGTTCACTCAGTTGTCTCTTTTCCATGTAGATCTCCGCACCACAACCACCTCTCAGTCAGAATTCTCTCCTCCCCCTGAGCTCCTTGGGCCTGTCTTCTGAACCTCACCCATTTCTACCTGTACATAGTAGTATAATTGCTTACAGCTGTGTCTAAGAAGCTGTACCAGATTGTTCTGGGAGCCTCTTGAGTGCGTAAATCCCACCTCTTCATCTTTGTATCCTTACCCCATAGCCCATGCCTAACATGGGTGGGTGGGTGGATGGATGGATGGACAAATGGATAGATAAATGGATAAATGAGTGAATGACTGTCCTCACCACACTATTGGATGGATAGTGACCCGTCATTTGGGGTTGTTCGGATACCCACCAGAACGTCTTCAATCCAGCCTTCATTTCATCACAGGGGTAATGGCTCCTTGGGCATCCTTAGGGGAGAGAATGAAGACTACCCTGAAAACATTGAGATGACATCCATGGGGATGGCACATTCACATAGGCACCCTCTGCCAGGCGCTCCTGGAAAAGGCTATGGTAAGCATTTGCCAAGCAAGGATCATATCCTGGGAAGTAAAATCCATGGACTTAAGAATATAATCAGTAGAGTCTCAGCAACAGAATGGTGTGTTCTTCCCTCCTCAAACACATCCTCCCTAGATACAGCAGTTGAGAACTCAGTGTCTAGAGAAGCCATTTGTCATCAATTACCAAAAAGGCAGGTGAAGGGTGTGGGAAATGGGGATCTGTGTGTCCTGTGCCTCCCAAAGATCGCATGTGGCAGAGTTCCTAGTTATGTGGTAAAGTGGGCTCAGGGTGCCAAGATCCTCAGATTTTTCCAAAAGAAGCTAGACATTTGGTTTTTTATGTGAAACCTGAGTTTTTTTTTACAGGCTCTGAAATAATTGTTAAAAATTAAAATAGTTGGCCGAGCACAGTGGCTCACTCTTGTAATCCTAGCACTCTGGAAGACTGAGATGGGTAGATTGCCTGAGCTCAGGAGTTTGAGACCAACCTGAACAAAAGTGACACTCAGTCTCTACTAAAAGTAGAGAAACTAACCAGGCATTGTGGTGGACGCCTGTAGTCCCAGGAGGCTGAGGCAAGTGGATAACTTGAGGCCAAGAGTTTGAGGTTGCTGTGAGTGATGACCCCATGACACTCTACCTAAGGCGCAGAGACTCTGTCTCAAAAAAAAAAAAAAATTTAAAAACACTGAGCTGGGCAAACAAAATTAATTTTCTCATGGTTTGCCAGCCCCAGCTACATTTAGTTTAGTATATTCTAAAGGTGTCCAGGGATCAGCATTTGTATGTTCAGAGCTTTGTGGAAGGCAAAGTGAGTCAGAGGCAGCTCCGTCCTCAGGTCACTTAAAACCTAAATGGATAAACCAAAGTGGCACATCAAGACTAAAGAAAATTAGCAAGCAGACTACTAATATTTGAAAAATCATGTTGTCCTCCTAAAAAGTACAACAAAAGCTGTAGCCCACTTCTGTGGGTAAAAGTAAGATGCTTAGCTCCGGGAAGCAAAGGACATTCTAAAGAGTTCTTACCTTGCAGGAGGAGAAAAGGGACTTGGTCCCTCATAGGGGAATCCAGTTCATTAGACAAGAGCAAAAAATCCAGGCCATGTTGCAGGAATTTAGAGGCTCTGAAGGACAAGACAGAGAGGGAGTGTTCAGCCAAGAAGGGAATAAGCAATCACTTGTGTCACATTACCCCATCCTGATAAACCCTTTACCCTTAAGAAGAATCGGTATTCCCCTGTGTATCCTCCAAAGCTCTAAAAGGTGTTAGGTGGTCTGCCTAGTGTCACAGTGCCTGGCACACAGTAGGCACTTGAGAAAAACTAACTGAACCGACAGCAACAATGGTAAGAGTTGTGTTGGTTTGTCATTGACACTGGATGTGCCCGTGGAGGACTAATCAGCCTTGAGGGAGAACATGAAGAGGGTAGAGAGGAGCGGACGCGATGCATTGCCCCAGACTAATGAAAGGCACTGACTCTTACACATCGGCATGGAAAATTTTCTAGAACTAGAATATAAATGTTTTGACACAATGACTAAGCAAATGACATGAAATCTATGTGAACCAGCTGGATGAAAGTATTTCAAATTGTATATGAAAACACTACACTGTACCCCATGTTTTGCATTAATGTATACAGCTATCATTTAATAAAAAAAAAAAAAAGGAAAAAAAAAAAAAGAAAATATTCATGCCAAAGCCCAGATATCAGTAGGGTGCAATGCCAAAGGAAGAACATTTGTTCTTGAAAGGCCAAAAACAAAATAAGTTTATGTTATCTGTGTAGTACATAAGCAGACACCCCATTTACCACAGATAAATATATCTGTGGTATTAGAATTTCATGGAGGAGGGCGATGATAAAAAAAATAAGTTTATGTTATCTGTGTAGTACATAAGCAGACACCCCATTTACCACAGATAAATATATCTGTGGTATTAGAATTTCATGGAGGAGGGTGATGAAGAAAAATGTCTAAAAAGACCCTTGAGAGGACTGATAGTGAAAAAAGATTGAGACACTGGGCGGCGCCTGTGGCTCAAAGGAGTAGGGTGCCGGCCCCATATACCAGAGGGGCAGGTTCAAACCTGGCCCCAGCCAAAAACTGCAAAAAAAAAAAGAAAAGAAAAGATGGAGACACAGACCTACTCGAATGCAAGTGGAGCTAATAATGCTGAGCAGTTCTGCAAGCTTCCCGTCCCCGGGGACTGCCAAGAGCCTTATTTTTATTATCTTGTTTAATCTGTTTAACAGCCTTTCAGGCAGACACTTCTGTTCTCCTTGTCTTAACAGATAAGAAAACATACCCAGAATGAAACATGTCCAAGGTCACCCAACTATACCCAACTACTCAATCAACAGAGCCAGGATCGAATCCCGTCTCTCTGACCTGCAGCCTGACCTCTTACTTACCCTACACGACTGTTGGGTAGAATCAGAGCAAACACAAACAGCTTCCTGCCCAAGCTCTGTTAAACACTGGAAATTAAAATGCTTTGAAAAAATAAAAACCAGTCAAACGTGGCTTCCTTCTCTGGGCTCCTTTGTAGGACAAAGATTTTAGCCCTTGGCAATTGCTTACGCCATGTCACCCCGTCCTGATAAACTCTTCACCTTTAATAAGAATCCATATTCATCTATGTAGCCTCCAAGGCTCTAAAAAGTTCCAAGTGGTCTTCTTAGTGTCACAGTATCTGGCACAGTGTAGGCACTTGAGAAATATTAACTGAATCAATACGAGCTCTTATAAGAGTTGTGTCAGTTAGCCTTTGACGCAGAAATGCTGCATAACAAACAAGTCCATAAACCCAAAGTCATAGAATAAACAAGCATTTCTTTCTTTCTTATACATTGTCAGGATTGGTTAGGGTTTGGCAGAACTAGGCTGAATTTTGTTGTGCTTGGCTTCTGGTCATGGGTTCCATTTAGGTCCAATGTCCTTTTTCTTGGACCAGGGAGCTACCTAAGGCATTTTCTTCCTGTGGCATAAGCTGGAAGTAGCAAGCAGAAACACACAATGTCTTTATTTTTTATTTATATTTTTTCTTTAGAGACAGAGTCTCACTGTATCGCCCTTGGTAGAGTGCCGTGGCGTCACAGCTCACAGCAACCTCCAATTTCTGGGCTTAGGTAATTCTCTTGCCTCAGCATCCTGAATAGCTGGGACTACAGGCATCTGCCACAACACCTGGTTATTTTTTGTTGTGGTTTGGCCAGGGCCATGTTCAAACCCCTCATCCTCAGTATATGAGGCCAGAACCCTACCCACTGAGCCACAGGCGCTGCCCAACACACAATGTCTTTAAAAGCCTTGGCATAGAACTGGGAGATAGTCACTTCTGCCATATGCCTTTTGTTAAAGCCAAACTATACCCAACATGAGTGGAAGTGGCCAAGATGGAGGAATTGTTATATGTGCTGAATAACAATTAATCTACCACAATATATGTTATGAGTTTACAATGACCAAGCCCAACATTAGTGGAGGTGGCCAAGATGGAGGAATTGTTATAGTGCTGAATAACAATTAATCTACCACATTATATGTTATGAGTTTAATATGTGCTAGGATTATTGAATCACTTTGCAAATATTAACTGATTCAGCTCCTCCAAGAAGATTATATGAAGGTTCTTTTATTGTTCCTGTTTTAGGTAGTAAGATATTTGAAGTTCAGAGATGTTAAGTAACCTGCCTGGGGGCACACAGCTAATAAGTAATAGAGCCAGAGATCATTCCCAGGCAAGAAGTTCCAGAATCTCTTGCAATGGATTTTTGCACACTCTATCAAAATGTGCTCCATTTTCTCTATGGAAGAGTTTATGTTTAATGTTTGCCATGGACTGAAAAACATATATTGAAATGTTGACACTGTTGAGTCAATGCTAAGAGTAGACTATGCCTAAGGAAATTATGCCATATTTCAAATTTGTTCGTGTGTCACCGTAAAATGCTAGAGTTGGAAAGAACTTCTGTACTCACCTAGAAGAGTATTTTTTAAACTCTGAATTTAACTCATTAACAAATTTTAAAATAAACTTGTAAAATGAAACAGAAGAGTGTGGAACAGAGTAAGAATATGTAATAGAGCAGTTTATTAGTCAAGCAAAATATTGTTTTGTGAAACTTGTCTTTCAGTTCTGTATGCATAGGTGTGTCCTGGATCCCAATGTAATTTATTTATTTATTTTTTATTTTTATTATTATTATTATTATTATTATTTTGAGACAGAGCCTCAAGCTGTCCCCCTGGGTAGAGTGTTGTGGCATTACAGCTCACAGCAACCTCCAACTCCTGGGCTCAAGCGAGTCTCCTGCCTCCGCCTCCCAAGTAGCTGGGACTACAGGCGCCTGCCACAATGCCCGGCTATTTTTTGGTTGCAGCCGTCATTGTTGTTTGGCGGGTCCGGGCTGGGGATTCGAACCCACCACCTTAGGTGTATGTGGCTGGCGCCTTAGCCGGTTGAGCTATAGGCGCCGAGCCAATGTAATTTATTTTTAACTATGGCTCATGGCAGTGGTCCCCAGGCTTTTTGGCACCAGAGACGGGTTTCATGGAAGACAGTTTTTCCATGGACAGGAGGAATGATTTTGATATGAGTCTGCAAGAAACTGGCTTATTATGGTCTCTGTGCATCAAACCTCTCTGCTACTGATAATCTGTGTTCGCAGCCCCTCCCCAGAGCTCGCATCACCTCAGCCCCACCGCAGATCATGAGGCATTAGATTCTCACAGGGAGCACATGACCTAGATCCCTCACATGTGCAATTTACAGTAGGGTTCACTCTCCCATGAGAATCTAATGCTGCTGCCGATCTGATAGGAGAAGGAGCGTAGGCAGTGATCTGAAGGATGGAGAGCAGCTGTAAATACAGACGAAGGTGTGTTCACTCACTGCTACTCACCTCCTGCTGTGTAGACCGGTTCCTAACAGGCCACAGACCCAGGACTTGGAGCCCACAGGCTTATTATCAAATGAAAACAGTTGATCCAGGCTGATTGTATTTAACAGCATTGTTTTTGCATTTTTGTCCTATTTCCCATCCAAGTTCTCAATTTATTTATTTATTTTTGAGACAGAACCTCAAGCTGTTGCCCTTGGGTATAGTGCTGTGGCATCACAGCTCACAGCAACCCCCAACTCCTGGGCTCAAGCGAGTCTCCTGCCTCCGCCTCCCAAGTAGCTGGGACCACAGGCGTTCGCCACAATGCCCAGCTATGTTTTGGTTGCAGCCGTCATTGTTGTTTGGCAGGCCCCGGGCTGGATTTGAACCCTCCAGCTCATGTGTATGTGGCTGGCACCTTAGCCACTTGAGCCACAGGCACTGAGCTGTAACCCAAATTCTTAATCATTGGCCTGTTAGAACCTCAAAGACTAGGCCTCAGGCTTAGGAACCCTTTCTGACCATTACTGACACGTGAAACTATTGCAGGCTCAGACATAATTGGGGGAGCCTGGCAATGTCTGGTGGGGAGATTAACTGGCAATGTCTCTCTCCTCTTCCTTTCAGTGAACCCTGCTTATGTAGGTGAAAGTGGTCCTGTCCGTGCTTATGGAAACCCACCATTGTCTGAAAGTGATTGGCACAAGTCACCCCATGGTAAGGCTTAATGGACAGCCACCAAAAAGTCAACTGTGAAGAAGGAATGTGGTCTAGGCAATCTAGTCACTGCCATTTCCTTGTGGCCTCTGGTGCAGCAACTTATGCAGTACTTGCTTAATTCATCACAGTGGAGTTTTCTTTTAAACATATAGTTTTTTCTTTTCTGGGTATCATTAGAAATCTTCTGATTGGAAACAACAGAAACCCACCTCAAATGGGCATTGGGCCAAGGAGAATGTACTGGCTCATGTGGCGGGAAGCATATGAATTGAAAGCAGAAATACTCCCAGTACCTAGTAGAGTGCCTAGCACATAGTACTAGGTATTTCAGAGATATTTGTTGGGTTAAATTTGTTGAAGGAGTCACAGAAGCCAGTGCCACCTGGACTCTCTTGTTTTCCATCCATTTCTCATCTTTGCTTGACTCACTTCCTCTTAAACTTGACGCCGGCAGAGTCAAGCCTTGTCCACGGGCCACAGAACACAGCCAATAGCAGCCCACACAAACCCTCAGCTTAGCTACCTCTTTCAGATGTCTTTCTTTCTCCCTGGGTCTGCTCACCAGTGCTGGGGAAGGACTCTGGCCAGCCCTACTTGGAGCACATGCCCACACTTGGACCAATCATTTTTACACAGGGGACAAAACTGGGTCATCTGTCTGTGTAGGTAGGGATGAAGTGCATTGATCTAATTTTTCTTCAACAGTCATACAATGATTATGATGGTACAGTGTGGAGATAATCAGACTGGTGAAAGACAGAGGCTTTGAAATCCGTTAGGAAGCTCTATAAGGTATCACCGTGTGCAGTGATGAAGGTCTAATTGGAGCCAGAGACTGAGAAGTCAAAGGAAGCAACAGGAGTAAGTTAGGGAACACTGGAGCCAAAAGGCAAGTTTGTGAACAGCAAAGAATAAACTTATAAAGCTCTCTATATAATAATGCATATGGAGGCTGGGCACAGTGACTCATGCCTGTAATCCTAGCACTCTGGGAGGCCTGAGCAGTAAGATCCCTTGAGCTCAGGAGTTTGAGACCAGCCTGAGCAAGAGCAAGACACTATCTCTACTAAAAGTAAAAAAAAAATTAGCTGGGCTTTGTGGTAGGGGCCTATAGTTACAGCTATTCAGGAGGCTGAGGCAGGAGGACCACTGGAGCCCAGGACACTGAGGTTGCTGAGAGCTAGGCTGACACCAGGGCCTAGCTGGGCTGACACCATTCTAGCCTGGGCAATAGGGTAAGACTTTGTCTCAAAAAGAAGCAGAAAAAGAATCACTAAATTGCTTTGAAAGATGGACTAGATGTTGGTGTTGGTGAATAGCTTCCCAAGGGGAATACTTTGAAGGTGACCACAGTGATATTCAGCAATGAGGTATGTAACACTTCTTCTAGGATGGGCTCTCAAACGTAATGGTCAGATCTTGTGTGCATCTATGTATCTGCATATACAAACATGTACATATATATGTATATTTCATAATCCATGTGTATCACAGGGACCCTGTGGAAGAAGAGTCCCCAAAAGGCAGAGAGTAGTAAAGAAACAGAGGACCCAAAGATCAACCTTGCTGTCTTCACCATTCTGCTTTGTCTTGGTTCCGATTCTCAAACCATGTACAATGAATCGATAGACAGCCTCATGATAAAATGTAGCTTTAGTTGATTATGCTATGCACCTAGGAAGCACCTGGCACATAGTAGGCACTCATAAACATGAATGAATGAATGAATGATATACATCAGCATCTTGTTACAGGAAAGGGTTAGGGTGAAGTAATTAAGACCAGTGGCTTAGCAGTAAAAGGGTTTATTTTTCTCATATAACAAGAAATGCGGAAGGAGTCCAAGGTTCAGCCACAATGCCTTCAAAGTCTGAATCTCCAAGCTTCTTTCTCCACCGTCCTTAGCAGCTGAATGTTTATCCCCATGTTTTCAAAATGGCTACTTCCAGGCATAAAAGAAGAGAAATGCTGAAGGGCAAACCGTCGCCTTTTAAAGAGCATTTCTGGAAGCCACACATCATTGGCTAAAACTGGGCCACAGATTGACCCATAACCACAAAGGAAGCTGGGAGATTTTTAACTGAGGAGGGTGTCCACACAGGGAATGAAGTTTCTGCTGGTATGAGAAAAAAGGAGAATGGATATTGGAGGCAGACAATGGCAGTGTCCCCACCCAACAAGCCACCATTCCAGACAAGCAAGAGATACTAAGTGTCCCACTAGAAACCCATCTGGACTCATGCAGGCATATAAAAATTATAAATATAAAATAAAAGTCGAGGCCAGAAGCACTAAATTAGTAACAAAATCTTGCCCTTTGATTAGGAGTCATGTAGAAGAATCTCTTCTTTCTGTTTCTAGAATCCCACTGTCTTAAATGAAAGATTCTGTTTCTAATCTCCTGCCTAGCTACTGAGACAGAATTCTCTGCAGGAAAACACACCTCCTCCTGAGAAGACCCCTCTGGGGGGAGATGTGGGAAGTTATGTTGCAATTTATGTGGAGGTGGCTTTGGTGATCTCATCCTGGCATTGAAAAAAATGTGACTGGTGCATCCCTTTGTGATTGCCGTCACTTTCCCCTGGGAGGCCCCACAGTGCCAGTGTGATGACTGCCGTGTGAGGTCTTTGGAAGCCCATCCCAGGGAAGAACAAGGCTTGCAGGAGTTGAGAGATGCTGTCTGAACACCATGGGAATGAAATTGTCATAGAGGTTGAGAATGTTCCATCTGGGTCCCAAAGCCATCCATCTTCAAATCAGATTTGCCAAGAAAAGGCACTGGTTAACTCAAGCTTCAGCTTGATTTCCTCAGTGTCTGACGTCGACGTGATAGACGCTCAGATTTTCCGCAAAAGGAATGATAAAAAGGACAACCGAGTGTTACGGTTTTCAACATCTCTGGATGAGTCAATTTCTCAGAGCCTTCACCGCCCAGAATGCCTGGGCACGGACACTGCTTGTTCTTCACATGAAACCATTCAAGGTAGTAAAATCCCAGGAAAGACTGGAGTTGGGGAGGTGGCCAAGAAGGCTTCCAAGTTGTCTACAAGGTTTTTTTTTACTTTTAAGACATCTAGTAATATAGAATGTTTGGTAGGTGAACTAAGGAGGCTGGGGATGAAGGAAGGGACCTCTTTGAGAACTCCCTGCTATTATAACAAAAGCTCCCTGGGATCAAGCTTGTTTCATGTTCAGAGCACCTGCTTTTGTTATTCATCACATTCCATTTTATTTACTACCCACACTGCACCTTTGAGGCAGGCACTTCCATTTGCTTGATGAGGAAACAAGGCTCAGAGAAATTCACTGATGTGCCAGATCTGGGATCCAAATGCATGTCTGTCTGATTCCCCAGCCAAAGTCTTTAGCCACTGCTCACCTTGGTCAGATCCCTCCTTATCCTGGCTTCAGGCAACACAGATGCTACCTGCTGCCAAGAAACCTCTCGGCCTCTCTGCTCCTGACCCCAACAGAGATGTTTTTCCTCCATAATATTTTAGACATAATGTGTAACAGCTCTCAGTGATTTCTGGGAGAAGAGAAAAATCCCTTTGCACCAAAGTATTTTGTGGAAAAAGACTGGGGCATGACTTCTCATGTGGGCATCTCCTGCACCTTTTTCCCTCTTCTTCTTTCTTCCTCTCAGTCTACTCATTCTTCCCACTCAGGAGAGACACAAATTCCTTGTCTCCAGCGGAGTTGGTGGCCCTCTTTGAGGGATTTCCCTTCTACCTAAAGCATGTTACTAAAATGAGCCCGGTGTTTCCTCCCGGGTGCTCCAGCTCAGTGCTAGGCCCAAGGGGCCAGCCAGCTCCCTGTGCGCCTTAGCCACCGCCAGCACATCACTGTCCTGCCGGACCCCAGCTGGCTTTACTCACTGTGGAAGATGGTGACAGCATTCCAGTATCACACGCAGACACACACTATCCAAAGGAAGAAGGTTCTGTCTTTTTCATGCTTTTTGCTTTTATATGAGAAGGAAGAGAACTTTTCTAAGAAACTTCTCAGCAGACCACCCCACAGAGAACATTGGCCAACCCTGTGTCACATGCCTGTGCTTAAACCAATTGCCTGTGGGGGTGGTGGGTGGCGGGTGGTGGGAGTTGGGCAGGACTATTAGGATTGGCTTAGACTCACTGAGACCTGCTCCTATCCCCCAAGGAAGCTCAGGGTCATGAGAGAGGGGGTAGATTCCTAATCAATTGAGGTGGAGGCTCACTCTGTAATCCTAGGACGCTGGGAGGCCAAGGTGGGTCGATTGCTTGAGCTCAGAAGTTCAAGACCAGCCTGAGCAAGAGAGAGACCTTGTCTCTATTAAAAATAGAAAAATTAGCTGGGCATTGTGGTGGACACCTGTGGTCCCAGCTACTCAGGAGGTTGAGGCAAGAGGGTCACTTAAGCCCAACAGTTTGAGGTTGCTGTGAACTATGACGCCATGGCACTCTATCCAGGATGACAAAATGAGACTCTGTCTCAAAAAAATAATTAAATAAATCACAATTGTGATTCTATTAACAAGAAGAGAATGATTTGGGGGTAGGTGCACCAGGACCATCCACAGCCATTGACTGGAGATGTGAACTTCTCCCGAGTTCGTGGGAAAAGAGGAGGGAGTCCTTGCAGTTAGGCAGAAGAGCATATAGCGAGTCAAGGAATGGAAAGGAGGCACTTGGGCCTGGGTTTGGTGTTGGGGGGCAGTGGGACAGCAAAAGGAAGCACTGTGGCATGTTAAGGCGAGAGCAAAGGGGTAGGCCGACCAAACATGCAGGATCTTGTTGGCTTTGCAGAATGTTTTTTGCCATGGGAAAGAGAGAAACATGAAATTGGAAGAGAGCGCAGCCATTATCATTTGCTCTAGCTTTGAGCTATAGCACATATATATGTCTCCTTGTTGCTTTCCTTTGTGATCTTTGGGATCCCCAAGTCTACTACATATTCTTCTTCCCTTGTGCTCTTAGAAAAACACCCCCTACCTTCAGCTCTGTACTTTAAAATGTTATGATCCTGTTAAAGAAAAAAGAAATGAAACTCCATTTATTTTTTTTTTTCCCTGCAGGACAAAAGTTAATTGCATCTCTGATACCCATGACATCCAGAGACAGAATTAAAGCCATCAGGAACCAGCCGAGAACCATGGAGGAGAAAAGGAACCTTAGGTATGGGTGAAAAGCTTTTCTGTTTCCCCAGAATTCACGTGAACCTCGGGCTTCTACTTTTGTCTCATCCCAAAGAGATAAGAAACAAAAAATGCAGGAGAAGAGACAGATCTTCCTTACAGAAGAATTCTACATGAGCTCCGTAGGTCCTCCTCTCTCCCATGATGAGAAGGACGTGTCCCTTCTGTGGTGTTCTCTCCTAAACCCCATAACTCCAGTGTAAACAGGGCAAACATCAGGCAACCGAAGGACCTTCTACAAAGTCCTCCTTCAAACTGCTGACGCCGTCAAAACCGAGGAAAGTCAGAGAAAACGTCGTAGCCGAGAGGATTCTAAGAAGACAGGACAAATATATGCCATGTGGCACCTGGACAGGATTCTGGAATTTAAAAAGTGCACATCAGTGGGAAAAATAGTAAAATCTCAGTAGCCTGGAGTTTAGGTCACAGTAATGTACCAGCCTCAGTTTCTTAGTTTTGTTGGAAACTTACCATGGAAAGGTAAGAGGGGAGGCTAGTGAGCACTCCAAAGGAACTCTCTGCCTTTGCGTCTTCACTGTGAATCTCAAGCTACTCTAAAATAAATAGTTTACTTTACAAAACAAAATAAAGGAAGGCTGTAGATATTTCTGGGTCCAGCAATTCAAAGCCAAGGATGAGGGCCATTTGAGCCCTCAGATATTACATTGATTGTTCCTCCATCTTTTTCTTTTTCCTTTTTGCAATTTGTAATGGTTGGCAGACACTAGTAGAGTGGATATAACAATTGCTTATAAATGATTGAGGATTTAGTTTTTCCTAAGGTTTCAAAGATCAGCCTCAAAACCCAGCAGGGATTTGTCAATAACTCATGAATGGGAGAAAGAAAATCAAGCCAAATCAAGATGGAAGAAGATTGCAAGGGTAGGACCAAAAAGGTCTGGTCTGTCCCAATCATCTGGGGCAAAAAGGGGGGTGCAGTGGGGGCAGATTTGAGCATTGAAAAAACAGCGACATGGGAGTGGGCATTTGAAGTAGAACAAAGAAAGCCAGGAAAGGACCAGAATAAAGTAGATGCAGTGAGTTCAAGGAAGGGTAAAGACACCAACTGTGACTGTGTCTTTCTCCAAACATTCTTCTGTTTTAAATTCTGCCAGTTCCCTTTGTCACACAATAAGGGCCCCCAAGGTTTTCTCAACCTCAGTACAGCTGAATCCTAGGGCTGTTGTGGGGGCTGTCCTGGTCATTGCAGGATGTTTAGCAGCATCACTGGCCTCTCCCCAGTAGATGGCAGCAGCACCCCTACCCCAGTCTGACAACCAAAAAAGTCAACAGGAATTATTGGTTGTCACATAGGGGCCAAAATCGCCCCAGGTCTCCCCCATATTATCATTCACATGCTCTAATTTTTCCTTTGCTCATTCTGTTCCACCCTGACCTCCTTGCTGTTCTGCCCCCATTTGGGGCTTTTTTTTTTTTTAATGTCACCCTTGGTAGAGTGTTGTGGCATCGCTGCTCACAGCAACTTCACGCTCTTGGGCTTAAAGAATTCTCTTGCCTCACCTCCTGAGTAGCTGGAACTCCAGGTGCCCGGCACAATGCCTGGCTATTTTTTGGTTGTAGTTGTCATTATTGTTTAGCAGGCCCAGACTAGGCTCAAACCTGCCAGCTTTGGTGTATGTGGCCAGTGCCCTACTCACTGAGCTATGGGCACCGAGCCCATTTGGGGCTTTTTGTTGGCTATTTCATGAGTACAGGACATTGCTGTATTCACATGACCAATCCCTCCTCTCCTTTTAATAGGATGAGGCTAAGATATCACTGTATTTCAAATTTTAATCCTGTCCCTGCACCATTATTTTTCATCTCATTGCTGTTTTCTTTTTCTTTCTTTCTTTTTTTTTTTTTTTTTTTTGAGACAGAGCCTCAAGCTGTCTCCCTGGGTAGAGTGCCAT